CTGCGTGCCAGGTTGCTGCCTTTTGTCTGAATTATAGGCGCGCAATGGGTTGGATTGATGGCCAGAGAATGGAGAATCGTGTCATACGTTTTAGGCTGTATCTACGGATTGCGGGTGTCTACGAGGAAACGATTTCGTACGATGATGGGCGAATGTACTGTGTCCGATTTGAGCTCAAGTTGGATGAGTTACGTGTAGTAAATCGTAGGTATTATAAGGCTAGTAAATGACGAATTTCCCTTGTTTATTGATGTCACACTCCTCCCTATTATCTACTCCTGACGTTACACACCGGGAGCTCCGCTTTTAGGCAGTGCTTAAATCTGAATGTTATAAAAACGTTATTTGTGGTGAGCTACAGTGTCATTGACACTTTCATTTTTAAGATTTATGCGGTTGCACGTATTAGCTGAAAAAATACGGTAATTCCACGAGGCCGTGCTCTGGAACGAACTATAGTTAGTATGGCAGAATTTTCAGGGAGTCGCACGGACTCTTGCATATGTCAAATCAGGTAGTCCGACAGTAAATCAGGGAGTATTTGACTCCGGACTCCCGTTAATTTTGCACCCTGCATTTATTGTGAGTTCATATTTACACTTAGGTGGTGAGACAGATTTTACCATTGTCAAAGAAGAGACTATCTCTCATAGAGACATTTTTAAGGGATACAGAGTCCAGGTAAGTCAAGACTATTTTGACTCTAATTAGGTAAATGCATAGTGTAAAGTAGGGAAATACATCGTTTGGATTTAACACATGTTGAATGCCTTAGTGTGTTCTTACATGTGTTAGACTACAGAAATCCAGCATTTGATTCCAGATGTCACATTTCTTTGTGTTAACTTTCATGTTCAGCTGAATGTGAATCTCCTCCAAATGCTCATGGTCTGATCTGTGATCATACAGACTAGAAAATTCATAGTATGGTGGTCAAACCTCAGAAATCCTACAATTTACCCATCTGCCTGGTTTGATTGGCAGGTAGCTCTGGCCAATCATTGTTAGGATGGGCATTCTAAAAAAGTTCTTAGCAATGAAGTGCTGAAACATCAAAAATTTGGCGAGCGCAAATTGAAAACGCGTAGAAACTGGTTAAACTTAAAGGAACTAGCGATAATATCACAGGGGTCTGGTTATCTTGCTCTATGCTCGGATGGGGCGTATACATCGTACAGGTGACGAGTATCACTTCCCAAGTGTAATCGCTCCCTTTCGTGTTTCCGCGTGTAGCGTGCCGTCCGACATTCCCAAGCTCTACGTGAACAGATGTACGGCGGCCGAGCATCATGCTGACCCGAGCTCCGACCCCGAGTGCAAACGCTCCATCTTCATCCAGATCTATGAGGGCCTGAAGCCCAGGCAGTGCAACGAGAAGATGCTGGATTACCGGTGAGCGACAAGAACACAAAGGTCACGAGAGGGTCAAGATGCAGTTGTGACGTGATCGCATTTTTTGTGGTATGATGTGTAAGATTAGGTGAGAAGTCTTACCTGAGAGAGCGTGAATGGTATGCCGTTAGGTGTGTGACGATTGGGTAATGTTTAACGAGTGTAATGTGTGGGTGAAGAATTACAGGGAACTAATTAAGGGAATTAATGAAGGAGGTGATCTTTAAGCTTTGGCATGATGAGTGTTTTTATATTAATGAGACACAAGTTGCTCATCGGTTCATAGTTAGATATGTATAATTCATTTTTTCTATAAAAAGATCTTTTACTCCTGTACATTAAGGAGCAGTTATGAAGATATTAGGCGCACATCGATACTGTACCGCAAATAATACATATTGATTGGTATTAAATGTAGGTGGCCACCGATACATGACCAGTGGTGGGAGTGCAAGTTTGCCTCAGAGGGAATCATCGATCAGGGCGGAGGCTTTAGAGATAGTCTTGCTGATATGGCAGAGGAATTGTGCCCTACTGACAGTGATGTACCCGTGTCACTTCCATTCTTCGCGAGGGCTCCTAATCAGGCAAGGACTATTTGTGCTGTTGGTAGCTAGTTGCAAACAACAGATGCTAGATGCAGATATGCATTCCTAATAGACGCAATCCCTAGATGCATATCACAATTGACCGTCGTATAATATGCATGCATATTGCAATTTACCGTCGTATAATAAGCATGCATATTGCAATTTACCGTCATATAATAAACATGCAAGTATAGCATACATTATACATAAGCATGCAAGTATAGTATGCTAACGGCAACAGTCTACGCGTTTTTTTTCCAAACTGTATTCGAGATATTGACGTGGCATCAAATATTTGTTTACACACTGACCCAGAGTATGAGTTTGGCGTGTTATTTGCCATGTGTTTGCAGTTCAACGTCGACCTAAACATCAACAGGGATGTTTATGTGCCAAACATCGGCTGCACTCAGTACTTGCTATACGAGTGGCTGGGTAAGCTGATGGGAGCCTGCCTTCGCAGCCGCGAGAGCTTGGTAGGACATCTATCTGCATTAGCAGTTCATAGAATTAACACTGGGCGCTGCATGCAGCCACCGATTAAGCGTTACGTGGTTATAAACCTTATCATGAACGTCGTTATGACTTGCGATTCGCAGTTTCAAGTTATGCAAGCACTATTTTCACTTACGCATGCTCCCAAGCACCAGTAGTAGTGATGCAGATGTGTGCTTGTAAATATTCAGTTTATGTGACATCCACCTTGCTATGCCAACAGGTGCTATCCTTGCCCAGCTTTGTGTGGAAGAAGTTGGTAGGTGAGACAGTGAAGTGGTCCAGGGATTACGTCACAGTGGATGCAGCCGAGGTAATTTCAGCTCTGATCTGATTTAGCGCGTTCCTTTGCTGCTTGATATGACACGTGTGGTGCGTACTTTGATTTTGATGTGTTTTAACAGCACTACATTGACAAATGAAATAATCACATAACTACCAGTCAATGTTTCGTACCACTTATCTGGAAAAAACGGTCAAAATCTGTCAACTACTTCATTTTAGAGCTATTCTTTAATATATCAGTTTATTGTATAGGTGCCAATATTGTTATGTGAGTGTAAATATGTTTTGATTGCATCACACTTTCCATGCACTCAGTTGCAAACAGTTTCCTGATAGATATTTGATATGTTAATTTAGAGCAAAAGTGTACATAAGCCATGTTCGTGCTTTCAGGTCAAACTTGTTGATAACATAGAGACGATGGATCAGGAAAGCTTTACAAGTTATTTTGGAGATGAACACAAATTTGCGTAAGTATCCTTTGCATTAAAAAAACATGCACCTCGCATAATACATAAGAATATTGAGTGTGGAAGGCTGGTATAGCGCTGTGTGAGGTGTGGTAGAATTCAGTGTAGTCGATTCCTGCAACAACTGCATGTGGTGATTTAGGTGCACGGCCTGCGACGGCAGCGCGCAGGAAGTGAAGCACGGCGGAGCAGACATACAACTCACCTACGAAAACAGGTTCGAATACGTGAAACTTCTGAAGCAGACGAAGTTGCAAGAGTTCGACAAACAGGTAATAATGGCAGTAGTAAGTGGAGGCACATACAGAGAAAGGCTGCACTTTTTCTTCTTTATGTTTAAACTATTTCATTGCTTGGAAATGAAGTTCCATAGGACAGTGTGACATCCATATATGTATTTGACATTTTGTTGAAACTGTATGCTTTCGATAGATCTTTGTTAAATAATACGTGATTTTTGGTTCCAGTTGGAAGCAATACGTAAAGGAATTCTGAAGGTTATTCCACCTGCAGTATTAGATCTCCTTACTTGGCAGGAACTCGAGAGAAAGATCTGCGGAGATCCTGAAATAACTGTAGAGGCTCTAAGGAAGCAGAGTACGTGTCCGTTCTTTAATAACCTGTTAGTTCGTGTATCACGTATACCTCAGTGACACACGTTATGGGGCCTGTTAATATTTCACACTCGAAAATACCACCACACTGGGTAGACGATGAATTGGCTTCTATAAGCAGGCTATAGTGCAGCTGTTCTTTTGTTGGGTACAACTCATAATGGCCATATCATGGGTTACTAATTGGCTGTAGTTTCTGATTAACGTTATCGTTACCAGAGAGCTGGCAAATAAGAAGGGTCCGCACAATGATGCTGGAAATGAGATCCGTTGCATTTTTTTGTTAGCTCAGGCCTTTGCTTGCGTTCACATTGCCACTGTTCCATACTAGATTCAAGTTCGACTTCACCTTGTGTGCGTGAAGTATCCATGTTGAAGGTATTCTGCTATGTCGCTGTCAGTTCTAGGCTGACATTGTGTCAGCCCTGTGCATCGCATCATCGTGGCTTGTCTCATGCGTTTTGTCCTGTACTGAAGCTCACTATGAAGATCTGGACCAGACGGACGTTAGAGTCGGCCAGCTGTGGGACGCTCTGACAAACTTCACGAATGCAGACCGCAGCCGATTCTTGCGCTTTGTCACCGGCAGACGGCGCCTGCCCGCGCCAATGTACATCTGCGCTGACAAAGGGTGCGTGCTGCCTCTTGAGTGTTTGTGACCGTGGTCACCTAAGCCAGTGCTTCGTTCAACTATTTCAGTGTCATTCTCCCTAGAGTCTTTATAACAAAATTTCATTCACCTGCGACTAAATTTCCTTGTATTGTGTTTTTAGCTCATCTGACATAGTCAGATGCAGCTTGTAGAATCGCATGAGCGTGCGTCCGTTCGTCCGTCCGTCCGTTCGTCCGTCCGTGCGTCCGTCAACAGTTGGGCACAAATCTAAACGGCTCGACGTACGGATTCGAAAGTCGGGACGTGGGGGGGTAATCCGAAAACGAGTTGGGATGTCGAAGCTGGGGGGTCAAAGGTCAAAGGTCAAGAGGTGTAAAAGAAGGGGGAACATTCCCTCCTTAACTTAAGGTATAGGGAGGAAATGCAGAATTGCGGCACAAATCTAAACGGCTCGACCTAGGCTCGTGATAGTCGGTGTATAGCATCATGGCAGGAAAAGCCATCACTGT